CTGGGTCAAAGGATAAGAGTGATGGTGGTTGTCATCAGAATGGCTAAAATGTATTGGTCAATTGGAGATACAATGAGACATGTGGACCAAAAAATTCATGGACACTGGAAATATATGTTCTATGGGAGATTAGAACATGAGGACTTGTGAACCCCATTGAAATGCCATTTGAAAAGGTAATCCATTAAATACCTATTATCTAAACGTAGATTTTAGAGAGGAATAATGGTTGTAACCAAGCAGTTATGGTCCTTTTTCAAAATACACATAACTGGCCTTTTGACCAATTGCAATTCTTGCTCATTTTGGCTACCTTGCTTTTTGGCTAACTAGACGTGTTCCTGTCTCTAGTGTGCTGAAGCTCACAAGCCTCATAAAGGTGTCAGTGAAGGAAAAATATTTGATGACATGAGTACATCCAGAACTTTTTGTTTTATGAGGAGTTGGACTTCCTCACTGATCCTGGGAACTAGCTTGACCTTCAACCCCATTAGAATCCATGGATATAGATGCATTGTTGGCTCATGCATCAGATATTTGAGATCTTGTTGAGTAAGTTTTTGGATTGGCAATAAAGTTTTCCAGGGCCAGGCAGCCCCAGTCAGTAGTGCACTCACCCACAGGACTGAAGCCCTCATGGGATTGGGAAAACCATAGCAGCCACACAGATGATGTTGGGTCACCATTGGTACTCCAGTCAACCTAAGCCTGCTAATGGCTTAACCACCACTGTCAAATGACATAACATCAGCAGTTATAAAGGAGAAATGGCCAATGTCTCATCATGTGAAAATCCTTCTTATATGTCCTGTCAGAGGGTGTCTTATGACAGCGAGGCAAAGGTACCAAATTAGTTCTCATCTCCATTCGATCTACCCATTGAAATCAAAGAAAACTTTCCCAGAGTTAAGGTAGTTTTGAGGGGCAGTCAAGTGACGGGAAGAGAAAAAAGGAAGGATGATGCTCGACCAGCACTACCACCACCTACAGCAGCAATTCTGACAGTCAACAACACACTACCACTAAAATCAGAAACAGTCAGCTAAGGAGGCCTCATCACCATCATTGTAAACAGTGAGGACCTTCTAGAAGAAGTTCACCTCGATGATAATCAGTCCAGTAATACCACCAGTCATTTAAATCAAACAAAGGGCTTCCTTGTTAATGACAGACAAGCCACCACTGAAGAGATCCATATAAGCCACTCAGCAGCAACCAAGGATAAAATTTCCAAACTACTCTACTCTCAGAAATGTCGACCATCCCATTGTTTGTGTTTTATCTTATTTCTCTTCCTTTTATGTCTTATTTATATTACCGCAAAATATGACACTAGTCACTTTGTAAAGATTTTATTAAGAATAGTGATGCATTTTTTATTTTGGGTTTCATGTCTTAAAAGTAGTACATATAAGGTTTGTGTTTTTTGTACAAATAATCATGTAAGCTCTATTATAATTGTTGTAAGACAGTTATTTTGCATAAATTTGAAGAGTTTATTATGCTACAGAATGTGTGAATTTAGAATCATTTTAGGTTTTTATCTTATATTTTAATTCGAAGTCAGGTAGTTTATTTTGTAATTTGCATCATGTTGCATTGTAATGACAGTGGCTATGTTAGTGGGTCTTTGCTTGTCATTTTTCATGTTCCGTAAAAAATTCTGTAAGTTTTGTTTTTTTATATTTCTTTTGTATATATATATCTGTTTTAATATGTACCTAGGTATTTTTGATGCTATATGTAGAAACGTTCCCACTACATTTGATTAAATTGTTTAATGAAGTATATTTTTGTCAATAGGTTTTTCTGTATTGCTAGCAAAGATTATTCGTTAAAAGAGTATTGGGTGTTGAAATAATGATATTTTGCTTATTGCTCTTTGTTAAAAGGTTCTTCTAAAGTATGATATCTTCAATGATAAAGCTTTTTAGGGTGTCTCTGCTTGTACTTGTGTTAAATGGTTTATTGTTTTATCATGTACAGTTTTTTCATTAAAGGGTTTTATTGTAATGAAAGTATTTGTATGTAGAATTAATGAGTTTTCTTTGATAAACGACTTTTTAATTACGTGACACAAGTATATTATTTTAATGTTCAAGGATATTAAGATGATATTTAACTCATTGTTAAAATTTATTTCTGTTAATTTTCATTACATAATGGTTTTCTTTGATTAAGGGGTATGAAATTTGTGTTGTGTATATTTGAAAGTTCTCACACTTCTTGAACCGAGCATGAGCTTAGATTTTATGGGTTTTTAAAGTTAAAATTAATAGTCGGCTTGAGAACAAGCTTGAAAGAGGAAAGAGTGCTGTATGAATATACTATATATATCTTCTAATAATAGTATAGTATTTATTCTGAATTATGTATATGTGCAGATTTCACATGACACATGGTCGAGAAAGCCGTAAAGTTGCCCTCCCTCTAACTGCCTTTGTTCCTTTCTTATTCTTAAGTAGATAATAACTAGCCTGGATCAAAAGTTGTTGCTGTAATACCACACACTGTGCACGGTTGTCAACAGCAGTGTCCTTCAATAATCATTCAGGTAATATCTATAGGTTACGGCTTCACCTATGTTGCAAGGGGAATAACCAATAACAGCAAGTAATACTAGTCACTCTTGTTAAATATGACGTTTCTTGCAAACTAATAAATGATGGATTTAGTCAGTTTGGAAAAGCAGTTTAAAAGAGAGAATCCACTGAAAGCAAGAGTCCATCTTTCTATAAAAGAAAGTACACACATGGCTGTGTTTGTGTTTCACATTTATTGTAATAAAGATTGTTTCATATTTCACTTTGTGTCCAATTTTATTTCATTCAACATCATGACTCTATTATTCTGGAATTTAGCATTATTTCGTAACAGGCATCTTGACCGAATCTCCTGTTATTAATATTATAAGTGGATATATGTGTGATATCCAGTCATATCATTTCTACCTGTTTTTAGTAATATAGGAATTTTGAAAATGTATTTTTTTTCGTTTATTTCCATGCAGCTTTGACATAAATACGTGGTTCAGAAACCATTGAAATTTACCTTGTTCTAAATTTTTGTTTCTTTGTTCTTTAGAGCAGATAGTATTTACTCTGCTCGAGGGGATGTTACAGTATACTTCACTTAAATACTAGAAGAATCAATGACTGCAATATCCTTTGCTGGCCAAGTGGATGATGTCTGTATGTTACAAAGGTGAATGCTGCGAGAGAACAACAGTTGCATAGCAATACCCTTGCAATAGAAAGAATATGAGCTTCCTTGTGCAAAAAAAGAAGCATTTGTTCTTTTCTCAGTTCTACCTGGTTTTTGATCGTAACTACTTCACCAGAAATTTATCTTGAGAGACAGAAAGCAGATGATCTACTCAATGATCATTTTGAAGCGACTGTCCATTTGTTTGTGCAATTATTGCAAGCTATATTTTCTTTTTGTTTTATTTGAATAAAGATTATGTTAACTTTCTTTCAAACTTTTTATCTTCTCACACAAGATTAAAGCTAAGTCAAATTTTCTAACACTCATTACTCCTCAGATATTCTGTTCAATTATGCTGTTAAAGCAAACGTATTTACTACTAGTGAGTAAATCAGTTTTACCTGAGAATACCACAAGTTTCCATTTGCTCGAAGTTTAACTTAGTTTTACCTGAATATACCACAGGTGCAATCTTCCCTGTTTTCAACAGGAAACAATTAAGTTTATAAAAGCAGCTTTCTGTTCTTCCTTTCTTATATATGAAAAAATGGTAAATGTTGCAAAAGTATTAGTAATGATGCTTCTTAATTATTGTGTAAATTCATGTGAAGAGTTACAATGAGTCTCAACCATATGTTTCAAACAAAATTTTACTTTTGCTAATGCAGGTCTTCTTTTTTGATGCATGTTATTTGTCATACGAATTACAATCCACTATGCATATTGTTATCAGTATGAAAGAAAAATAATTGATTAAAATCATTTAATTATATTCAGTTATCAATCTCCAAAAACAACTAATTTTAATAATCTTAGTGAAATTGTGAACAAAATAATTTTAAAGTAATTAAGAAAAAAATGGATTCTTCAATAATATTTTACATTTTATCCTATATTATCTTTCTCTGTTGTAGTTTATAAAATTTAAGGGAGAGGAGATGCACGCTTTAAATATCTATACAAACAACTTGAAATTAGTAAAATAAACAAAAGATACAAAAAATATTATAATGATTTCATATAATACACTAACTAATTTACATCCAAATGACATATTTACAAAAATCTGATTTTTTTTGCATTGTGAAACAGCTGGACAGAAATTATGAAAATTATTAGTCCAAAGGAGGACTGGCAAGTTCAGTGACTAAATGTCAGTATCAGGGTTAGCATTAAATAAGTATCTTATTTAAATATTTAGAAAAAATTGAATGTTTTACACCAATCTCAGGTAACTGGAGATAACATAAAGAAAATGGCACAAGCTTATATATATATTTATATATCTTCTAGAGAGAGTGTTGTTGTGTCCAGAAACAAAAACAAACAATCTTGCATATGCAAGTAAGGTAATTATAACTATAAGTCTAAGAGTTTGTTTGTTGTTAAGTGCAAAGCTACCTGTGCTCTGCCCATCATGGGTATCAAAACCCAATTATTAGAATCATATAAGCCTACTGACTTACAGCTGAGCCACCGAGAGAAAAATGTAAGGGAATGTCATTTAGATTATGATTCTGTTTCAATATTTTGACTTTTAACAGCTGCATTTTTTTACGATAGATTATGAGGAAATTCTAGCTTTTTTAATACTTTTTTCAGTGGCATATTCCAATATTTGTTTATAATGATACTGTTAAAACTACTTCAAATGCTCAAAACTTTGAATTTGGCTTTTTTTTTTATGATACATTATGAGCAAATTCTAGCTTTTTTATTACTTTTTCCAATGGCATATTCCAATCATTGTTTATAATGATAAATTCAAAGTTTTGAGCATTTGAAGTAGTTTTAACAGGAAAACGTCTTTATACAGCACTTCCTGTCATATCAAAATGTCTAAACAATACAAGTCAAGGAGGGGGTTGAAATACAGTGATCAATGGATAAAAAAACTTTTTGAGCATAATGAGGCAAAATGATTTAGTGCTGTGAATATAATAGGTGAAGTTGAACTATTTAAGAAGTGTTTTCATGTATATGGCTTTGTTTTATTTTTGTTATATATTCTATAATGCATGAAATGAAGTTCATTTCATCTAGGAAATATCCTTATTAAATCTGTGGTCATAAAGGTCACTTTTAATGACAACTTTGTCTATTATTCTATTCATTTATTTATAAATAAATGCCTATTTTTTACTTTTTTTATATAAATCATTGGTTTTTAATTTTCATTTTAACAATAATAATAAGAAATTCTCTTTTATATCTTTTGCATAAACAAAGTCAGAAGGTAGACATTTTTAACATTATTTGTAAGGGTAGCAAATAATAAAAAATATATATATAAAAAAAGTTAAAAAAGACCAAGACTAGGGCAATAATAAGACTATCATAGTGACCTCTATGAACTCAAAGATATTGTTACGTAAAATGACATTAATTTCATGCATTATTGTTTGTTTGTTTGGTATGGATTTTGCACAAAGATACACGAGGGATATTTGCACTAGCTGTCCCTAATTTAGTAGTGTAAGACTAGAGGGAAGGCAACTAGTCATCACCACCCACCGCCAACTCTTGGGCTACTCTTTTGCCAAGGAATATTGGTCTTGACCAGCACATTATAATGCCCCCTCGACTGAAACGGGCAAGCATGTTTGGTATGATGGGAATTCGAACCAGCGACCCACAGATTTCGAGTTGAGCGCCCTAACCACCTGGCCATGCCCAATCTTCATGCATTATAGAACACATAAAAACAAAACAAAGCTATACATGAAAACACTTTTTAAGATCCAAATTCACCTCTTATATTCACAGTTATATATCGTTTTGCCTCACTTAACTCTTGTTTATTGACCTTTGACCCCATATTTAATTCAACCATTCTCAACTTGTATTGCTTATATAATTTGATATATCAGGAAATACTTTATAAAGATATTTTTCTGTTAAAACTAGTTTGAACACTTAATGTAATTGGCAATATGGGTAAATGGTGAGAAATTTCTGGCTTTTTAAACTTTTGTTCAGAAATATTGTAACAAAAGTCAAAATATTGAAATAGAATACAACAGCACCCCCTATAAATAAAATAAAAGCATCTGCCATTTTGATTCTATTGACCTAAAATTGAGAAACTACCTGAATACTAACTTCCACAATGACTTTTTGGCCACTTATCTTGCAAATAATAATTTCAAAGTAAACCAAATATAAAAATCAATTTTCATTAATCTATTCTTGCAAAGATGAAGTAAGCAAGGAAACACAATCATCTCATTGCAGAGCATCTGCTTTGCTGAACCTCATTCTACATGTGCATGACATCAACAGGAACTTGAAGTTTTCTAATCAATCATCACTTAAGAAGAAATGTAAAAAATACATTGTTTTACATTCAAAAAACTTAATAAACTAAACATCCTGTGAAGGGGAACTGATCAAACTTCCCAGTGTCAATGCATTCTTCTATTTTTTCTCATTTATATCAGTCTGACAGTACTCCACAAATATGTACAATATTTTGAGCTTTTGCTGCCTAAATGTTCACCAAAGCATGATTTTGACCATCAAAAACCCGATTTTCTTCACATAAATTTTTTTAAATATTCTAGATGTTTAATCACATTTAATGGAAAATCAGTGATGGTATAATGTTCCACATAATGTGCTAATGGCTTAGCAATTCACCTTTTCTAAATAATTTAAATACATATATGATATTAAATAAGTCATTACATGTCTGTTAAAGTTGAATTTTAAAAAAGAATAAATGTGTGCAAAAATCCTGTTCAGGAGCAAAGTTTAATGACTCGTGAAGCTTTGAACTTCACAGATATTAACTTAATGCTTCATGCTCTGTAATCAAGCTTGTTATGTTTACATACAACAGGAATTTAGTACAAAAAATTTATAAAGTAAGCAATTTTGCCCAATGAAATATGTTTATGTAAAGCAACTGAACGTGTGACTCACGAAAAATGATATATATATATATATATATACAAAACGTACTTGCAGAATATACTAATTTACAACTACAGAATCATAAATTAATTTGAGACAAGAAATTACAAATCACATCTACTCAATAGAGAATACTAAAGGTGGAATTTCAGAACCACAGCACTAGAATTTGACACTTGTGAACTGTAGAAATGCTTTTCTTGAATGTAACCAACAAAATGTAATCGTATACAAGTTTCAGTACCATTATACTAAAGGTTTGTGTTCTCAACAAGTGAGAAAATGCTTTGAAAAATATTGTCCCTCTGTGTAGTACTAGTGGAGGTCATAGCATGGTGAAAACATGCATACATATTTATATACATGAGTGGTTAGTGGTAGTTTTGTCATGTTGTCTTCTCGGAAACTATTTTATGTTCTTTCTCACCCTGCTGGACTAGGTTCTTGTCAGCAGGAGGAGGTTCACTCTTTCGATCTTTCTCAGCCAATTTTCGATCATGACATTTGTTAAGGGCTCGTTCACATTTTTGAGCAGTCTTAGTTTTGTCTCGCAAAGCCATCTGATAGGCAACCTCAAATGCTTGTCCTAATGTCAATATCACTTCTGTAGCAAGATCCTGTGAAGTAAGAAAATAAGGTTGCTAGAAAGAAGTATAATTCAGCTTTTGAAAAACGAAATTACATATTGCAAGTTGCCCTTTAATAGTTTTCATGACCGCGTATTTCTAAAATGAAAACAAACAACAGAAAATGGAACATCACATTCAAATGCAGTTAATCATTTTTTCTTCTAGTAATCCTAGAATTTCTTTGAACTAGATTTTTCTAGCAAAAAACAACTAGAAATGTATTTTCTGTTGATTTAAATTTCTTTATTAAGACATTTAGACTAATTAAACACCTCCTTTAAATAAGACACTAAGCTTGTTGACCTTTATTTGGAGGTAATAAAATGTTTACTGTTCTTTAGTATGCACCTAGTATTTGTCAAAATATTTTTATATGTTAAACGTTCAGAAACTGAGATATAATAACGATTGATTGACACGCATAATAAATTTAAGACTTAAACTAGGTAACGTAATATAAAAAGTACTTTTGAAAGCTGATTCAGTTGATTGTGTGTCCTATTTTAAGTTTGAGACAATCCTTTTAACTTTCATTGTGTTAGTGCTTTTCCTGTGTTTGTGCATTAGTTTGTCTTTATCTATACTACAAAACCCTGGACCAGCTTGTCAATAACAAATAAAGAACATAAAAAATTAAACCACTAAAAAATTAAAGCAATAAATATTAAAAAACTATACTTTTTATCATAAAGTTTCTTAAAAACGATTGTACGATAGGTCACAAAGAAAGTGCATTAATATTAATTGGCTGCTTGCTTTGAATATTCTTGCATAGCTACACAAAGCTATCTGTGCTTGCTCACTGTCCCTAACTCTGAACTGATAGACCACAGGAGAGGCAGCTAGTGAACAACACCCACTTTCAACTCTTGGGATAGTCTAATCAAATAGTGGGATTTGACCATCACTATGATAATGCATCTATAGCCCTAAAATGCTGAGCATGATTATTTTTTTTGGTAATAGGGTGTGAACCATGGACCTTTGAATCCGCAATATTATATACCAATTAATCATTATATGTATACACTTAGAAACCAACTAAATTTTTAGTATTCAAATTAAATAATATATGAAACATAAAGCTGTATTTACAGTGATTAAAATAAAGCATAGATAATAAAAAAACATAAAATTGTTATTTATGCCATTAAGACTTAAGAAACTTACCATACTCTCAGCACAAAATACATGGCAATAATGAAAATTTGTTTGGTGTTCCTTGGTGATATAGGCAAAGTGGGTGAGGTCTTCAGCATCTTGACATGTACAGTGAATGTTCTGAATTTCATGTTCACAAACTTTTTGCTAAAGAAAAAGTAACTATTTTATTTCCACGCGCACACAAAATATGAGATAAAAATAAAAAAAAGAATAATAAAAATAAAGCTATATTTTGTAGGTTTTCAATTTTTGTGTTGTTTTAACACCTTCCAGAGAAAAAATGCTTGGCATTTACCAAAAAAATCACAGTTTCTTATGACATTACACTTAACTTAAGAAGATTATATAACAAACTATACACCTGGAAAAAAGTTAAGCACCCCCAAATTTTTTTCAAGTGATTCAGATTCGACGTTCTTGTG